ACTGAACGGAAAGCAGTCTAAATTATACTGTTCACTCCACATAACAAAAACATGCAAAGTTCAGTTTACTTGCACAGGCACAACACACCAAGGTCATGTAAAAATTGAAAATTGAAAAAAAAAAAAGCCAGAAATTGAAACACGCAATTGATAACAAACTAAAGCTAGCACATCATGTTTCAACTCAGAACCCGTCAGTAGGCCAAGGAAAATATTACTTGTGTGAAGGCAGAGTGAACTCTAGGCCACCACCAAAACCACGCCCTCCCATATTATTGCCCCATCCAGGCATTCCGAAACCTGAATGAAAACCTTTCTGCATTGAGGCAGGATCTTTTGCTCCTGCTGGTCGCCAATCGCCTCTTCCACGACCACCAACAGGACCCATGACAGGTGGACGAGCTTGATTTGGTGTCACTCCAGGGCCAGAAGCAGGAATACCAGGAAAAGGTGCTGCACCAGGTCTCACATACTACATTTACCACCAAGAATATGGGCTTTATTATATATATATATAAATACAAAAATACAAAAACAAGCAGCAGGCAGAAAAATGCAATAAAGTTTAACCATCTGCAGTTGAAACCTAAAAACGACCCACAATACAAGTGAATCCAAGATTTTCCAAAATAATCGATTATCACACACTATAAACTATACAATTTTATGCGTTCAATCTACGACAGCCAGTATTTTTGTTAGCTTTGACTGAGAAACATAACTTCCTAAAATATCCAAGTAAAATAAAAATTACATAGCAATAAACCAAGTGCTCAACAATGCAAATAGATTTTTAAAAAGCAACATTCATCTAAGCTACAAAACTTGTAAAAGAAAACAAAAAATTATGTTCACTTCACACAAACATAAACAACCTATATAAGATATAAAGAAACATATCATATGTGAATGACACAAAGGAAGTGCGCTTGAAGTTGAGTAGACAAGTAGGAAGCAATCAAAAAACATATAGACTGCTTCGCCTAAAAACCAATCATCTGAACAAGAACAAAAGTGATGGGGAAAAAGAAGCAAACATAACAAAATACTGGCAAGCAGATAGTAATATGTTATATAAGCATCAGTTACAGGAAAATTAAAATAAAATAAAATTCATCTAGCTTTGGGAAAAGAAGACCTAACAGTTCTATAAGACTCAAACCAATTAACTTAAACCTTAACTATTTGATGACTGGAGAACGATTGCTACACAGTGGTGATCTAAGCAACTTACTAAAATAACAAAAATGGCCAGCAGGCTTTTGCGAATGGCCAATACAAAAATGACAGTGATTACAACAACAACAAAACAAACACACAAAAAGCAGAAATTTTGGTTGGCCACAGAAGCTTGTACTTGAAAACTAATAATAAAGACAACAATTCTTCCATTCCTCTTATTAACTTCAAGGATAGTGCTCGCTGTTCAGGACCATTTAACTAGCTCCAAATATCTAGAAAATTCAATTATGACATGAGTAGAGCCAGGCGTGACATAAATGCACTGGTGATTTTCAATAGGAATGGTTTCCGTTCATCACTTGTGGAGGAAATAAGAAAATTAGAACCAAGCACTATGATATCCTTCAATATTATTCATGTCATGACAAGTTTCCAACACTGCTGTATATAGAAAATTGTATGTGTGATGGCAGGCACGAGAGGAACTCAGTTTTAAAAGAAAGGGGAAACCGATGAATAGACAAAGTATCATCAACTAGTTCTTTGATGGCTCATTGAGGGGCTAGAAAGATGTGTAGGAAGTGTCTCAGAGATTGTAATCCTGGAACTGAAAAATGTCTCCCGCCATTCGAGTTGTAGTCCATGTCAGAGTTGCTACAGATTACAATAAACAGGATGATGATTTCGACCAGCTACTCCCCAAAGTAACTATATATGATCAATCAAAAATATACGAGGGAAGTGATAACAAATCTATCCCCAGCCTAAACGAACAAGAAATCATAAAAAAAACCTTTTCCAATTGGTTTGAGTCAAGAATGAAATTACAAACACAGATAACAAACACTATCTAGAAGCTGTGAACAAAACCAAATCGTCCACATTAGATACATTCTTAGACTTCCCTTGAGAAAACCTGCAGTTTCACTTGAGATGGACCTGAAACTCCCGAAGAGTAGCCACTTACCACTGCCTTTAAAATTGTGCCCAGACACTGGCTGAATAAAAGAACTTGTGCTCTATGGGGGGGGATGAGCCATTTATGGTTGAAGGTTTTACAGAAAGAACCCCTTGTTCTCCCAGAGAACTCGCAGTTGATTACATGATCCTTATCTTTGTCACGATGGTTATTACTCATCGAACCCCAGGTATCTCATTTGGATGAAATCAAATGATCAAGTTTGCAAGGATAATCAATGATTATTTATTACTTTCGACTGGTCATGAATATCATATGAATCCAATGACTTACACTGTCAATCCAAAATTTCTTATGTCAATAGGAGGGGCTAAAAGTACAATGGCTATCCAAATTAAAAATAATTAAATAGTAATAGCTACATGAGTATTATTCACGTCATACGATAACAAACAAAAAATTACATTTCGATTATCAATGACAAGCGGGAAATTACAAAACCCCATATACACTCATCACACTTTGGAAAAACAGACAATACACTGACCTTATATTGAGAATGAAAAGGACGATAACCAAAATTGCTATATCCGAGTTTTGGCGCCACAACCATCCCACCACTAGATTTTGCAGCCTCGCCCATCTCCTTTCTCTCACCATCCGCTACCGGCACTGCGTCTTCACCCCACTCTTGCTCTTCCATACCCTGATTCTGATCATTATCCCCCAAAATAACCAGCGGGCGATCGTCTTCATCGTCCTCATCATCACCACCCAATCCACCTCTCTCCATTGATATAGGCCCACGATCATTGTCATTCAACACAATTTGCAATTCGTCCTCACTGTCACTATCCCAGTCGTCACCGCCATCACCTCGGTCTCGGGCAGCATCATTCGTTCTAAAACCTTCCACGTTCTCAAAATTTCCACCTCTCTCATGGATCGATATTCCACCGCCAGGAGACAAGCCAGGAATAACCGGCTCCATACCCACGTCGTCCTCAACCCCAACATTCTCCTCTTCAACATCAAATTTGACATCCTTATCCATCAAATTAACATCTTTCTCCAGAGCACCAACAATTCCAGATTCAACACCGAAATTCCGATCCTCCAAAGCCCTATTCGGCAATTCAACATCGACGGAAGCAAAATCCTTAACTCCCTTCACCCGAGAACCCTCTCCGTCATTTCTGGCAGCCAAATTGAGAACGAACCCAGAAGAACCAGCGGGTACAGACTCCCGAGGCGGCTGGATAGGTGGGGTTTGATTGGCGAGCTGCACCGGAACAACCGACTTGGAGTAAGAAGGTCCAAAGGGGGGAGTCTGATGGTTCTCCTGACGATTGAGATCGATCGAACGTAGAAGGGGCGGAGGGGCGGGAGAGGATTGGTGAGTCTGCGGCGCCGATGAGGAAGAAGAAGCGAAGGGTCTGAGAACATCCGTGTAGAGATCCCCGAACTCATCATCGTCCTCCATCTTTGAGAAGGGATTTTTGGGGATTCAAAGACGGAAGAGAGGAGTTTGAAGGGGAAGGGGAAGGGAAAGGCGCTGGTTTGGAGCTGGAGGCGAGCGTCAAGGAGTGTGCCAATGTGGGCTTTTGCTTGTCATCTTAAGACTTCCCCTATACTGATTCCCCTTTCTTTCTCCCTTTGCATTAGGTTTTTTATTTTTCCCCCAACAAACCTCAGGAAAGCCCTTTTTCTTTTTCTTTTTCTTTTTCTTTTTCTTTTTATTTTTATTTTTATTTTGTGAAAGGGTTATTGATTATATTTTTCGTTACATTACAAGCTTAATCACTTAATTTTCCTTAGTTTTATTTTACTATATACTATAAAAATTCAATCAACAATAACGTCCAATTCAATTTCAACTACTATCTTAATAACTGATAATTTCACCGAATATGTATGAAATCAAAAATAATATTAGCTGAGAATGTTCTTAGCTTTAATCGTCAAGCTCCTCTTGATCTCCATGCTAGAGTGCTTGCATGAAAGCACATCTATTTACCAATTCTATCCAAAATCAACTAATATATAATAGCATGACACTCGTAGGAGATAGTTTTGCTTGGAACAATCCCTGTGTTGATCTATGGAGATAGTTTTCACTCTTAGAAGCAACAAGTAAGTAAAGTGACTATGTCGTTGATCTATGGAGATAGTTTTCACTCTTAGAAGCAACAAGTAAGTAAAGTGACTATGTCGTTGATCTATGGAGATAGTTTTCACTCTTAGAAGCAACAAGTAAGTAAAGTGACTGTGTCGCAGGGTATACTAAGGAATGTCGAAGTCATTAGGTGAAAAATTCGGATTCTAAATCCTAACCTAAATCTTGAGCATTTATTATTTGATTGGCCTACCTTGTTAACATTCCTCATTTCAAAACATGCTGAAAAGTGTTTCACTTGAAAACTTTTCAATGACATCCTGTGCAATAAAAGTAAATGAAACCAATGCAGTAGTAGATGGACATATATGAGGAGAACAAGCTATTACACAAGTAGGAACATTCCCTTCCATGAGAAGTCCACGAGGACAATAAATCAGAGTCATGAAATGGTCTATAATCTGAACAAGTACAAGCTTGGCCAGGATGAAACTTCGCCCAAACTATCGACAGAGTGAAGACTTAGCAACAGCTCCGACCATAATGTGTATGGAAAGTCGGTCATCGTTACACATCATATTTCAGCAGAGATTGATATATACACACACATAACAACCAAGAAATATTTTGACAAAAAGAAAACTAACACTAAACAATCGTGCTCTGAAGTCCGAAATATGCAGATTAGGCACTTCATCAGGGGTTTCATTTTAAAAATCTCAAAACTTTAACTCAAACAGAGAATCATGGATTGATCAGCGCAAGACTTTCAACAATATTTACTGATCTAAAAATGTGAAACAGTTCTATTAAGTTCATGTTTGGGAGTGATTTTGGAGGGACCAAAATCACTTTCGTTATTTTGAGCATGACAAAGTGGCTTTGATTGTTGTTCCAAAATCAATCCATAACATTAACAGCAGATGACACTGGAAACTTATATCTTACATGAATTAGAAACGATGAAGCATGAATCAACAAAGTCAAGGAAGGACACTAAAAATGAAGGTTTGGATACAAACAATATTAAGGAGAACTGTCATAAACAAATCTTGGCAGTTCTTAACAGCAATCAATTACGACCAAGTGGAAGAGACCTACAAGAATATGTCTCCTTAAAATCCGACTTCCTAGATGAGGTGAATATGGAAGCATAGACTTCTTTGGTAGCATTGGCAGGGGCCATGTCTGCTGCTTTAAATCGCTTAACAGCACCATTACTTGCCGCAACCTTTACCTGAACTCCACTATCTGGCCGCTCATGCTTCTCAGGCTTGGCTGAAACCTTACCCAGTGCCTTACCTTCAATGCCATGCTTTTTACCAGACAAACGGGATGATGCCAAATCCACACTCACATCTCCATTCATACCCACTTCCCCAGTCCTCACCTTCTTCGTCTTCTTCTCCTTTGATTTCGTTTTCTCTTCCTCCATCCTCTCCCTCATTCTTACTACCTCCTCCTCGCTCCCATTGATCACAAACTTGTCTCTGTCCATAAACTCAGCATGACAAACAAGGCAGGAAGAAGATTTAACCTCCTTCAAGGCCTTTGCACTCAGCACGTGTCCACAAGTTCTCAGAGCAAAAAATTTGTACTTACCATTGAACTCGAGCCCAGTAATCGGGCATTGAAACCTCGCCTCTGAGATCGCATTGCCACGCGATTCTGTACCGGGAACCATCGAAAGATTTATCTTGATCATATCCTTCAAACCCTTGATATGTCCGAAACCTTTTGGCAGCTTCTTCTCCAGCAACGCGTGAACCAGCGGCTCCTTGTTGAAGATATTTCCAAGCCAATCGATCACACAAGGTTCCCTCAAAGGCTCGTTAGAAAGAGCGCAGTTCAACCACTTGGATAGCCTCTGCTCGTTAGGATCGACCTTATCGGGTTTCTTCTCTGCGTACATTTTAAGGTAGCAGTCACGGGATTCGGCCCCGGTTGCACCGCCATCACCACCGCCCCCAAGGACCCTGGTTCTTAAAATCAAGGTGGACAGAGGGGGAACTAGAGAACTGGAAATTGTGGCGGAATCGAGGAGAGGTTTCCCATTTAGGGTGAAGTAGAAAGATGAGGCTAACCGTGAAGCAGGCGTGTTGAGGATAAGAGATAACTTAAGATCCGCGAGGGATTGGGCCGATGTTTGTGCTAGGTTTACGATTTTGGATTGAATTTGGAGGTCGGGAGAATGGACGAAGAACTGAAGACGGTGTTGATTTTTCGGATACATTGGTTAGGGTTTTGAGAATCGAAGACGATGACAACAAATTTCCGTGGCTAGTGTATCGCGATCGCGATCCCAACGACGATGATTGCTGATGAAAATCTCAGGCTAGGGTTTCAATCACAATCAGAAATATCGACAATTTTCGGATTCGAAGGATGAATGGGGAAGACACCGATTGTATTGAAATCCAGAAATTTCGCTTCTTTGAAGTCTAGACCGCAAAGGATCGGGAGAAGCATATATACAGCAAAATTTTAATATTCAAATTCAAAATACTTCAATTATCAATTTAATTGAATTTTCGAGAGCCAATTTTTATATTCATATTTTTCTTTTTTATTATTTATTCACTAACAATGATTTTAAATCATTTTTAAATAATAATAATCATTTTTGTATGCATGTTGCCAAGTAGCTAAGTTTCGTTTCTTTTGGAGTCATTTGTATGCAGGTTTCGCTAATTTTCGCTAATTTTTTAGAGCAAAATTTTGTATGCATGTTGCCGAGTAGCTAAATTTCGCTTCTTTTGGAGTCATATGTTCGACATTTGAGGATTGAGGATTTACCAATTTATTACTGAGTTTAGGGCATGACTCTAATACCATGTTAGGCGAACACGACTCTCCATAATAAGTATGATGTTGTCCATTTTGAGCATAAGCTCTCGTGGGCTTCCCAAAAAATCGCATACCAATGGAGAGAGTATTCTTTGTTTATAAACTCGTGTACATTCCCTAAATTAGCCAATGTAGGACTTTCATCATCCAACAATGAAACATATTTTGGTTTGGTAGGAGTATATATGATTTTAACGAACAATCATATGATCTCGTGGAGTGTCCAATTGACATTAAATTTAACGAGCATTCATATTTCGTATAGACAAACTTAACTCAAAAACTGCATGTCCAAACTCATATTGAAACTTTAACTTTTGGAGTTAAGGTTCGGGACTCGACTTGACCTTTATCAAGCTTGGATGATGCACCGTTCTCCTCGATTACATCATGATACTTGGACTAACAACTCTCGTGTGATTGGTTCGAAGCCACTTTTGTATCATAATCTTATTTAATGTGATGTTAAGAATGGGTTAAAAATACGTAAACAAGATAAGCATGGGTGGGGTCCATTAAGGTGTGGAGAAATACTCAAATCAATCAAATTATGACAAGTGGAATATTTTTATCTGATTTTATACAAGACATAGACTTGTACCAACAAATCCCAAAATATCCTCTTCTTTACCTACTTTTGAGACTTTATGTTTTTACCCCATAATTTTGAGAATATTATGTATGTAACCCATTTTAGTTACAAACTAACACGTAACTTCAAATCATATCCTTTTTAGTAAATTTCATCATTTCAGAATTTATGCCACGTCACGTGATTTTTTAACAACGTGGCAGTTTGCGATATTAAGCGGTGAGGTGGAAAATTTTGGAGTGGCCGGCGGAATTCGACCGCTCGTCGCCGATTGTAGGCGGAGACCACGCGAGTAGCGGGCGCGTGGTAACAAAGAGATAATTAATACTTTGTATAAAGTATTGTATTTTGTTTAATATATAATTTATTTAATCTAAATTCGTTTTGTTAAAGGAAAAGCCGTCCTTGAAAAATAAAAAAATATATTTTATTTTAATTATAAGCACGAAATTACTAAAAACAAAAAGGGAACATTATATATAGTTAATAGTTACATGCTTTTTAGGATTATTAAAATATAATATTATAAATTAATTTTATTAATTTGTTTAAAAATAAATAAATAATAAAAAATAGGGTGAGAAAGCAATGGTGGTGCGCCAGAGAGAAACTCCACCTTTTGCTATTTAATAATCGAACCCTCGACTCTCCACACCAAATTCAATTCCCTCCGCCGTCTTCTTCCTCTTCCTCCGCCACTCCGCAGGCGACGATGCAGCCCTGTAGCAGAGAAATGGAAACCCTCAACTCTCTTTTAAACAACTCCCAAATCTCCCTTCAGGATCTCCATGGCGACGACCACCACCTGAATCCGCCGTCGGAGCAGATTCCGGGGTCTCAGCTCCACCATTTCGATCCGGTGGCTGCCGCCTCTCACGATGACTTCCTCGAGCAAATGCTTCATACAATCCCATCCTGTTCGTGGCCGGACCTCAACCCTTCAAACCCTAAATCCCCGTGGGACATTAACCCCATCAATAAGCCATCCAGAGATATCTCCGACACCTCTCCCGCTGCAAAGGCAGCCGTTATGCTCCAGCAACAGCTTCTATTGTCCAGAGGCATATCCTCTGTCGCCGATCATGGCCTCCCCCCTATGCCTCTCTCCCTTAGTAATGCCGATTTGGACCGCTCCCACAACGACATCGTCGACAGATCCTGCTTCCGGCCACCAAACTCGGTTAGTTCTGTGCTGGATCTTTCAATTCCTCGCCGGCGTTATTCATGCTTCAACACTCTGTTTTTCAGGGAGGTGGTATTCAATCGCATAGTTTCGGAGCTCAAGGAAACATGATGAATCAAGCTCCGGACGGTGGGTCCGGCGGAATCTCTCCATCTCAGCCGAAGCAGAAAGTCAGAGCTCGCAGGGGGCAAGCTACAGACCCCCACAGTATCGCGGAAAGGGTAAACTAAAATTTCCCCATAATTATTCAAATCTCTAACTCTGTTTGACTAAACCCACTAAGTCATCTTCATTCTCAGTATTTTCCGGCTGAAAAAAATGGATTACCCATTTTTCTTCGTTGTGTTCTCGTTTGTTTTGGGTTGACCCCGAATGCACGTTTGAACAGAAACATTTGGTTAATTGAATTTTTTGTCTGGTTCTTCGTGTTATAGCTTCGAAGAGAGAGAATTGCAGAGAGAATGAAAGCCCTGCAAGAACTGGTTCCCAACGCAAACAAGGTCATTTTCTTCCTTCTTCTTCATCTTCTTCCCTAATTAATTTATCCCAAAATTTAACAACTCTTTACTAAGTTCAAATCAACCGTAATTTAGCAAACTGATCAGGGGCATTATGGTCATTAGTACAACGCGTTGACGGTGAGAGATTTATGTATTGGCAAATGAGGGACACGTGTCGTCAGTGTAATGTGGCAGTTACTAACAAAATGACGAGCATGTAATTATTAGCAAAACTTTTTTTTTTTTTTTTTTGTTAATAAATTTTTATGTTTATTTTTGCTTTCGTTGTATAAGAAAAAGAGGGAGGATTAAATAGGAAAAGCAAAGTTAATTAATGGGGAAATTGAAATTAATTAATTAATTAATTAATGGTAATGAATCTGATTAGTTGGGGTTTGGAATTCCAGACAGATAAGGCTTCAATGCTGGATGAGATCATCGACTACGTTAAATTCCTACAGCTCCAAGTCAAGGTTTGGCCCTATACCTTTAAATATATATATATATATATATACATATATGCATAGTTTATTCTAATTATTAAATGTAATTAATTAATATATGTATATATTGAAAAAGATTCCCTGTGCGGTATTTAATTTAATATTGTAAATGAGTTTTATTATTTTAATTTCTCTTATTATTCGGTGTAGGTTCTGAGCATGAGCAGGTTAGGGGGTGCAGCTGCTGTTGCTCCTCTTGGTGCTGACGTGTCCGCTGAGGCCAGCTCTCTCAAAGTCAAAATTACCCTTTTTTTTTTTTTTTTTTTTTTTTTTTTTGGGGCGAGGATAATTATGATTTATTATGGGTTTAATTAAAAAGGATTGGAAAGTAACAAATTGTAAAATTATTTCAAACATCTAAAAATAAAATTTAAACGGCACAAATTTACTTTTAGCAGAAGACGACAAAAGGAAAAGGGCAGCACGCGTGCGGGAACTTTTATCAGCTTTCTTTCTTTTTGGTTTGCCTGTCGTTTTCGTTTCTAATTGATGAAACGGTGTCGCTTCAGGGTGGTGGTGAGTGTATGCAAGGTGGGCGGAGTTCAAACGGCAGCGGAGGAAACCAAACGGCGTCGTCGAACGACAGCGTGACGGTGACGGAGCAGCAGGTGGCGAGGCTGATGGAGAAGGATATGGGATCGGCGATGCAGTATTTGCAAGGGAAAGGACTCTGTCTTATGCCGATATCACTGGCAACGGCGATTTCGACGTCCACGTGTCCCTCGAGGAATCCGATTATCAACGGCAGCGGCGGGCACCACCCAATGATGGGATCAAACGGCGAAGGGCCGTCGTCGCCGAGCATGTCGGTGTTAACAGTGCAGTCGACGAGCATGGGAAACGGATCCGTCAAGGACGCGGCCTCCGATTGACTGACTTTTTTATTAATATTTTTGTTTGATAAGAAAGCAGTCAACTACTATAGAAGTCTTCAATGAAAAATAAGGCATCTTTCTCAATACGGCGCCGTATTTTTTGTGGGTTTCTGTGGGGTGGCCTAAAAAGCAAAGGCAAAGGCAAAGGTATTTCCTTCTGACATCAAAAGCTTCTCCTTTACACCACATCCTAAGAAGCCCCCCCCCCTTTTCCTTTCCTTTTATTTATGAGTTTAATTAAACCAATTTTTGCTTAATTTGCTTTAGTTTATGTTCTAAAATCAGTCATGAATAATGAATAATAATAAGAGGGAGTTGCTTACAAATCATGTTACTTCTGAAAATGGCTTTTTTTTTTTTTGTTTTCGGAATGGGTTTACTATAGGAGGAATTAAGTATAACGTTGATTTGTTTAATCCTTACTATTTCAACTAATAAAACCAATCAGTTTTGGCTTTATTCATTAATCTCCCAACACTAAAGCTTTTCTTTTCTAAAAGATAGGATATTGATTTAACTTTTTTTTTTTTTAATGACCTTTCCAGAATGTTTACAAAATATTAACATAATCCATAATAATAATAATGAAAAAAGTATTAAAACCTAGTTCTTTTATTTGCTTTAATTATATATATATATATATATATATATATATATATATATATATATATAAAGAATCAAATAATTGTAGAATAGTCTTTGGTAATGGATAAAAGGATGTTCCTACTTTTCTTTTTTTTTTAAAAAAAAAGGAAATGGTAGCTTTAGATAATGATGTTAGCTCAATCCCAAATACAAACAAAAATTTATTAATACTCGGCTGAGAATAAATTTATATCCCATGTTGTTTTTCTCAACCAAAAGTATGCAAAATCATGGTTGAATGAATTAACAAATAATATCTTCAATTTTGACTTTGAACTCGCCTTTCTTTTTAATTAAACCCCTTGATAAGGAGAGGAAAACGATTAAACATGTAGTTCACTA